TTATTCCGTTTTTTTTATTATTGCTCTCTCTCTCTCTCTCTCTCTCTCTCTCTCTCTCTCTCTCTCTCTCGACGACGTCCTCAAACGCCTAACTCTATTCATGTATTTAGCTGTGTGTGTGGAGTTTGTGGAGCTATTTTTAGATCAAGCAACCAAAAGAAAATAGAGAAAGAGAGTGAGAAAAAAATTTTCCCTTGTTGTTCATTCGAGTCAATTGAGTCAATCTATCCTACACTATCTCTAATATACAAATACTCACACATCCATTTTTCTTTTTTTTAATTGAATAAATTCTTGTATTAATATCCAGCAAAAAAAAAAATAGGTTCAAAGGTTTTCCACGTTTTCAATTGCTGTTTTTATACTTTTCATTATTATCAATTTAACTACCCCAAAAAAAACTATGGCTTGACAATTGTTTTGTTTTAATTTTCCATTTGATTTGATTTGATTTTAATTTTCATCATTTATTTATTAACATTAATTTTTATCATCATCGTCATTTGCTGAATGATAAATAATTATCAATCGGCATTTTTTTAAATATTATAAATAATATTTTTCGGAAACCGAATATAGCTCTGCTCTTTATTTTTATCCATTTTTATGTATATAATAATTGATTTAATTCGATTTGTGGATTGATTGATTGAAGTTCGATTATCATTATTTTCACAAATATACACAAACATCGGATGTCTGTTGGAAAATACACACATATGATATCATATCATTATGATATATGGAATAAACATGATTGGACATTTATAAATATGATGATAGATTTATGTTTGTCTCATTCGTTTTTTTTTGTTGGGATTTCAAATATATAAATGTATTTATTATGTTTCTGATGTGATATTTTTGTTGTTGTTATTATTATTATTATTATTATCGTTAGCAAAAGTATATATATGATTTTTGGGATTTTTTTCTGGGTTGTTGTTTGTTGGCACCTAACATTTTTAGCTTTGTCTAGAATTACATAACTCGTAAATATTACTATTTCTTTTCTTTGTTTTGCGCTTGCTTGTTTTTTGTTTATTTATTTTTTGTTTGTCTGTCAAATCAGATTTCAAATTTCTCTTCCGTCTTTGAAAGTATTTTTTCAATAATAAAATTCAACTAATTAATAAAAATTTAACCTGTTCAAAAAAAACAAAACAATCAACAAAAATCAATGAATTTCGACATAACAACAGAAAATACCTTGTTATTGACAATGATGAAAAAAAATTGTTTTATATCGATCATCAGAGAAAATACCTCAACAACAATCAATGAAAAATTCCTCCCTCATTATTCAACACATATAGTTATGAGCAATAATTAATTTCAAAAAAAATGTCAGATTTGAGCTTAATATTACAAATAAAAATAACTAATAAAAAAAAGACATGCCTGAACGCACGTAGTAATCATCATTTGTGATGTGTAAATTTATACAAGGAAAAATGATGAAAGATTGATCGTAAATGTTTTGAATTGCTAAATTTACTGCTTAATAAATTAAAGAATCACTTTCTTTTTTTCTCTTTACAAAAAAAAAATTAACTCGTCCGCTACATAACTATGAAATTCATATGTGTATCCATAATTTTGTAAAAAAAAAGTTAAATTCTGTTTCTTTCATCTATGCTTTGCAACTCATAAAAAATCACTAGAATTAAAACCATTCGGTGGAAAGCATATTAAACGTCATCTAATCTTCAGTATTAATAAAATTAAATGCATCAACTTATTTAATTAAACTTATATGTTTGTGTGTGTGTGTGTTTGTGAATGAATGAGTGAATGAATCAAGGTGATAATGATGATGCTGAACTGTACATCTCTTGATCGATCTTTTGATTGTTGATCATAATGATGGTATCCACGCAAACACACATGCACTTTTTTTCAAATATTAATTTGCACAATCCGTTGCCCATAATAGCTTAAGGCAATATTATTATATTAGTCGATGATACTCCGGTTGTTGTTGTTGTTATTTGTTGATTGGCGAATTATTAAATTCTGGCACTTAACACACAAAAAATCATTGCCATCATTATATCTTTTATATAGAAACTGAAGATGTTGTTCATGAATAGAATTTTTTTTTTCTTTTTGCTGTTGTTGCTTTTATATTTATTTGTCTCCAAATATTTTCGTATAATAAAAGAGTCATAAGTCAAGCGGAAGTTGCTGTTGTTGCCTATATATTAATTAATAATAATGTTGAACTTTGCCACTATCATCATCGACATTGATGAATGAATGGGAAAAGAATTCATTGAAAAAAAAGTTTTTTTTATAAAGAATCATCCATCTATTCATTATTTGTCTATTATTTCATTTCTTGTGTATCTATTCTTATATTTTAGAAAAGTGTTTTTAAAAAAAAATGAAAAGTAAATAATGATGATATTTAATATATAACATAGAATGAACTAAAAGAAGCACACAAAACTTGACTTTCTTTGACAGCTTTTTAATAAATGATAGGCATTGCTGAATTTAAAAAAAAAATCTGAAAATCATATTTTTTCTCTGGATCATCATTACCTTTCATCCTTATTTTTAAGGTTTTTTTTTTGAAAAAAAAATAATACCCGTAATGAATTATCGAGATTTTTTTTCATTGAAATGAAAAATAGACGATTCAGCGATAACCAAAATTGTTAACATTTGCCACAAGAATATTAAGTGGAAAAAATTCTTGTACCTTATTGAAATGAATTGGCTAATTTTGGATCTTGAACATTTTTTTATTTTGTAGACGATGTGCTTCGCAATTTGATGTGATCATTATTCATTCGATTTGTGACAACAAATGCGTCGCAATTATAAACGATAAATATTAGGCAAACCGGTACAAATAATTTTAGTTTATTATTATTATTATTCTGATCCTAATAATATTGATTACGGTTTTGGTTTTCGTTTATTTTTATATTTTTTTACGATGTGCAATTCTTACTAGTTTATTTATAGAATTTCGGATGTGTATTTTATGATTCGTCTATTTTAAGGATAGTTTCTTGATTGACAGTTACCTGGACTTTGTTTTTTTCAAGTTTCTAAGAATATTTTAATTCATTGATAAGATGTTCAGACGTCATCGACTTATATACTTGTTGTTTTTTTATTTTTAAGTTAGCTTAAATCGTAAAAGAACATAGAATCTTAAACACACGTTCAAATCTGTCATCAACTCAATGAAAATTTTGTTTTGTTTGAAATGATAAACGTCATATTCTTTGCTATATTTCATATTTTCTATCCATATGAAAAATTATTCTTTAATTTTTTGTTTCCGATCCTCTCATAGATGCCTGCATGCATTACAGAATAAGAATCAGTAAAAAACTAAAATTAAAAAAAAACTAAATTATTGCTGTTAGGTTGGTACTTGACTTTAACACTTTTGTCATCATTTATTTACAGAACACAAAGGTGAATGTTAAAATAAAGGCGGTTGATTGGTTGGTGTTAATAGTTATATTAATAGCATCAAAAAAAATGCTAATTATATCCGTAATGTTTATATGTTTATTGCTCATATTTTTCTGGCTTTTTTTGAAGATTTTCTTACGTACCATGTGTTGGTTAATGCATCATACTATCAATTGCCAATTATTCTTATACAAAAATCAAACAACTATAGAAGCTAATAGGTGATGTTCAAGTCTCTTTTTTTCATCATACTATTATTTGTCAATGATGAATTCTTACCGTTTGTAAGACGAAAAAAAACTGGATGAAATCGTTGTTCATTCGAATTTGTGTGGCAAACATTATATGAATGCTATTATGAGTTGATGCGGCCTTCCTGATCATGGTGACATCGGCATAAATTTCACTACCTAGAACGAAAACAAAAAATCGAAACCAATTGTTTCTATGTTTTGTTGTTGTTGTTGTTTTAGGTTTTTCGGTTAAACCGATTTTTGTTTACTATCTTTGTATTAGTTTATGGTCTGTTTTGTAGATTTTTGTTGTTGTTGTCGTCGCCACCACCGTTGTCATCGTTGTTGCTGTTCAATTTATATGTAGATCAATTCAGGTAACAACAACGACAAACTGGTAAATGGAAAAAAAGGAAAGAAAAAGAAAAAATTTCTGTACTGTCATCATTTTTATCTGTTCACTAAATATGCGTATGATTCCATTATGATGGAAATGTATATATGTGTGTGTTTGTATTTCTATATTATCTCATTCAATATTATTCATGAAAGCTGACTATGTAAAAAAAATTTATCTAGAATATAATAGACAAAAATACAATTTTGTTGTTGTTATTTTTTTCAAACAACCATTTCATAATTCCCATTTCCTTCTCTTGATATGGTTAGTATCAATTTGAAAATAAGAAATTATTTTACATTTTTCATCATGTGTGTTGTTTATCAATATAAAACAAGCTCGATTTAAGTCTCGATTATTTAATCCAAAATGCCAATATTAATGTCATCATTAAGTTAAAATTATTTAAATACACAATTGAACTGGAATCAGTCTTGATCTATCTTTAGAAAAAAATATCATTAAAAAATTTTAATCTCATCAAGTCAAGTGTGCGCGAGAATTTTTTTTAATATTATAACTTTGTTGAGCTTCTTATTATTGCTTTCTTTGTGTCACATTTACACCAATGACACAACCCAATGTAAAAGATCTCATTTTTTTCTTTACATTTTGTTTGTTTGTTTTTGTGTTAATCTATTAACCCAAGAGACGACTAATATGAAAAAGATGATGGATCTAGGGTAGATCTCGATGATGCAGGCGATGACTCTCAAGTAGCCGGTTTTCTTGTTTTTTTTATAGACTTATTTGTATTTACCTTATCTTGTTGTTTGGCTTTTTCTGATTTTTTACCATAGTTTTGAAACTGAATGAGCAACAGAATCTTTATCAAAAATCTTATCGATTTATTGATCAATTTATTTTCAATCATCGATTCACTATTATATTTTATGTTTTTTTCTTTCTGTTTATTCAACAGGTGTCTACTACAGCAATCACATTTTAAATGATTATAAAACGGAAAAAAATATTGTTTTCATATTGGGAAAAATCTGAACTATAACACAATAATTTTTCATCGATAATCTATTAAAGTTGATTAGTTCTGTAATTAAATCAATCGTGTTTTCAATTCTCATACTTTTTCTATCAACATCATCATCAACAATAGTCATAATAATAATAATCACCATTTCAACTTTTCATCGCTATCAATCTCAGTTTTTTAATCAATTCTTATCGAATTTAAATAAATTCAATTCGTTTTTTTCTGGTACAAAAATTAATCTACACGGCCGTCATCATTCTATCTGCCATTGATTTTTGTAATTTTGCTTGTGTTGGAACCACCAAGCTGGAATCTGATTCAGAAGCGAATCGGCGACCAAGTCTTCTGGCAAATGTAATGGGCTGTTTTGGTGGGTCAGGATCAAAAAACGATGCCGAAGAAGACAAACGCCGGCGTGAGGCGAATAAACGTATTGAAAAGCAAATACAAAAAGATAAACAAATATATAGGGCCACTCATCGGCTCCTTTTATTAGGTCAGGTCATTCATATTAATGTTTAATTGATCATATTTCAACTAATTATTTTCATGTTTTTTCTAATCGATAGGCGCCGGTGAGTCTGGCAAGAGTACAATTGTCAAACAAATGAGAATATTACATGTCAATGGTTTCAGTGAAGAGTAAGTTTTTTCTTAAATGAAAAATTTCCGTTATTCTTATTACTCTTGAAATTATTTTAATATAAAAAACAGAGAAAAAAAGCAGAAAATCGAAGATATCAAGAAAAATATACGTGATGCCATATTGGTGGGTTTTCAATTCATTTTGTTAAACTTATAAATTAAATAATTTAATTTCTGCTTGTTTCTGTAGACGATAACGGGTGCCATGAGCACTTTGGTTCCACCAATTCCACTCGAAGACCCTAATAACCAATGGATGGTTGACTATATACAAGATGTTGCCAGTAGTCCTGATTTCGATTATCCACCCGTATGTATTCTAATTATATGTAATATTAATAGATTTAACTTTTCAATTTTCTTGACATTACAACAACAAACAAATAGCAATTTTACGAATACACTGAAGCACTATGGAGAGACAGAGGTGTTCAGGCAACATTCGAACGATCCAATGAATATCAATTAATTGATTGTGCGAAATAGTATGTTATTTTTTCAAAATTCTATAAAATTTTCATTAACTATTTTTGTTATCGATATAGCTTTTTAGATAGAGTTGATGTTATAAAAATGCCTGATTATACACCAAACGAACAAGACATTCTTAGATGTCGTGTCTTGACATCGGGTATTTTTGAGACAAAATTTCAAGTCGAAAAAGTTAATTTCCAGTAAGTAGTTTACAATGAAATAATTGCGTAAAATTATCTAACAAATTTTAATCAAATTCAGTATGTTCGACGTTGGTGGCCAAAGAGACGAACGTCGAAAATGGATACAATGTTTCAATGATGTCACTGCCATTATTTTTGTTACTGCATGTAGTAGCTATAATATGGTGCTCAGAGAGGATCCCAATCAAAATAGATTACGTGAATCACTTGATTTGTTCAAAAGTATTTGGAATAATAGGTAAAATTGATAATTATTACAAGTAATATTCAATGTAATTGTTGCATTTTTCTTCTTTATTTAGATGGCTGAGGACGATCTCAGTTATATTATTTCTAAATAAACAAGATCTTCTCGCCGAAAAAGTTAAAGCGGGAAAGTCTAAAATAGAAGAATACTTTCCAGAATATACACACTACCAGACGCCACCAGATGGTAATTAAATCTTTAATTTGAAATTCAAATGAATTCATTTTGTCTTTCATTTTTTTTCATATCACTTTAGCTGTATTCGATCCGGGTGAATCACCGGAATTTATACGGGCAAAATATTTTATTCGCGATGAATTTCTGGTAAGATTTAATGTCTTTGAATAATTTTAATTTTCTAATTTTTATTTTTATTTCACAACAGAGAATAAGCACCGCCAGTGGTGATGGAAAACATTATTGTTATCCTCATTTTACCTGTGCCGTTGATACTGAAAACATCAGGAGAGTATTCAACGATTGTCGTGACATAATACAACGGATGCACCTTCGTCAATATGAGCTATTGTGATCTTTATCTTCTCTCTTTTTCTTTTATGTTATTATATTACTATTATAATTAATTTCTTTCTGAGTTTTCATCATCATCATCATCATCATTATTATCATCAACATCATCTTCTACATTTTTACTTTTCTTTGTTAGGTCGATTTTTAGTGCATCAATTTTTTTTGAAAATTTTTCAAACGAAAAAAAATCGATTAACGACAAACAAACAAATGCAAAAAACTGAAATATATGACACTATCATTATAATTGTGCATATTACTATAATAACTTTGTAAAAAAAATCGCATGAAAAATTCATTTTAAAAAAATCTGGTCCCGAAATAATATATTGGAATGATTTTCTTTTGCTTTTGTTTTTGTTGTTATTGTTCTTTTGTACAGAATTTCAATCAACAATTATTTCTTTTCTTTTTTTTTGAGACAAAAATAAACATTTGTCGTCATTATTTTTTTGTCATAAACACTTACCACACTCTTACACTGAATAATTAATTAATAAAAAATTTATTGGCCATCACCTGGGGAAAAAAAGTTCACATCAATGATTTATTTGGCTTAATGCAAATGGTGATTTGAATAACATAATATAAAATATCTAATATTGATAAATTGTACATGTTACAAATATATACAAAAAAAAACTCAATCATACACATCATGATCATCATTACCTTGATGACCATTAGATTTACATAAACACACACGCCCACACATTACATAATTCATTTTATCACATGTGAATTACACATATACGACCATTGATAATTTGATGATCATTATGGTAATTGTCGTTATCACAATTTTACCATTATACAACATACATACACCATTATGCCGCCGCCAAATTTTTTTTCGCGCTCTCACCAATTTTTTTTGCTCGTTTTTTTTGTAATTGATGATTGAATAATTTGTAATCAACAAGACAAACATACAAACATATTAATATTTTAGAATTGAATTGTCAAAACAAAACAAAAAAAAATGTTCCAAAAATGACATTTTAAATATTCTTTTGTTTTCATATGGGAAAAAAAGAAAATTCTTTAATTGACCAATTTCGTATTGTTACATATGTCGACAGAAAATCAGACGAAAAATTCACTGAATAACATGATAATTATATTGAAAAAATATTCATCGTATAAATTTCATTGATTTTTAAAAGGGTCAAATAAATTCTGACCACATGCAGACTTGAAGTTTTAAAGTCTGACATGTATCATAAAAAAGTTGGAAAAATATCATTTAATCATGATATGATTATAGCTATGAAAAATATGAGTCACTTAATGATAAGTATAGGATTTTTTTGTTTTTGTTTTTTTAAACGGTCAACATAAATTTTTTTTACCTTTTCTATTCATAACACAAGAAATAACGGAACCGTTAACATTATGGTCATCCAATTTTTCGGTAATCTTGGGCTACGGCCATTTGTAATAATAATAGCTTTGAATTTTTGTTTTTACTATCCGAATGGTGGTTTTTGTCATCAAATGGCTATATCTTATGGCAAAAATATTGGCCGAAATCGATGTGAACCGATTATTATACCAATGTGTGTGAATATTGGTTACACACATACATATATGCCAAATATATTAGAAATGGAAACTCAACAAGAGGCTGGTCTTGAAGTACATCAATTCTGGCCATTAGTTCATGTAAATTGTTCCGAAGATTTAAGATTTTTTCTATGTTCAATATATACACCTATATGTATTGAAGAATATTCCAATTATATTCCATCATGTCGATCGGTCTGTGAAAGAGCCAGAATCGGTTGTGAACCTTTACTATTACAAGGTGGTTTTCAATGGCCTGAACAATGGAAATGTAATAGATTTCCCGTATACGGAAATCGTATCTGTATGGATCCAAAAAAGGTTTGAATTTCCAATTTCATTATTTAAAAAAAGGAAATAATAACAATAATTTTTACCGTTTATGTAGAGAAAATTTTGAAGCAAATCTTTTGCAACGTGCGACATCTTTTGGTCTAAAATCCTACTGAAGAATTTCAATTTCAAATACATTTTTGAAACTATTTTGTTTGGAACGTCGCCATGTTTTTTGAATAAGATATTCATTTTATTCCTATTTTGCTTATATTTCATTAAAATAATATGATGAACAGATTGATCTCATATTTTTATCTAAATAAAATGAATCTTAATCCTTTGATATTTGTTCTCATTTAAGTCTTTTTATTTTAATTCTTAATTAAATAAATCCTTTCAATACTGAATCCATGAAACTTTCAGCAAAAAATCAGCTGTCAATAGTTTTAGATCTGAAAAACAGATCAAACCAAAGATTGTTTCGGCTACCCTGTGGTGAAAAAATGTTTTTTTTATTATTGTGGTAAATATATTCCATCATAATTTCGAGATTTTTTTTTGTGCATTTGTCAGTTGTGGTGACAATGATTGCATTGAAACTTTATTATGATCAAAGTAAATATTGTTTTTTTTTCGCTTATTTAGCATCGTACACACACAAGACTACCCACAGTGATAAATACGGAAAAAATCGTGAATTGGTTAACGAGAAAATTGTTTTGATCAAATAATATTGGTAATAACGGTCATTGTATTTATTATAATAAAAGAAAAGGTCGGATAAAGTTTGATTGATCGGTCTGTAGTGACCAAATTCTTCATCTGATAATATTGGAATCAGTATATAATGAAAACATTTTATGTTCAATAGATTTTTTCCATTATATTAACTCGATATTCGCATTAGATAGAAGGTAAATTCAATATTGATACAAAAAATTTTCATCTAGGTTTCAGAAAAAAATGATAGATTTATATTATACTACATCATAATCACAATTAAATCCATCCTTTTTATTAAAAAAAAAATCTTTAATAAATAAATAATCAAATGAAAAAAACTATTGCTAATATACTACATCCTGATTTACAAAGTTCAATCACAAATATATCCATTCGCCGTTTGTTGGTTTTATAATTCATTGTATCGTGTTTGTGTCATGACATGGGTAACAAAATTTACACTTATTGATTACAATGAGAATTGAAAAAAAAAAACAAAAAATCCATGTAATGTTCCCGGAGTATACTGAAAAATGAACAACATGAATCACTTACAACTTAAAAACCTATAGGATCCTTGTGTGTTGTCTTTTTTGGTATATATGTAACAAGTCTGTCCCTATGTGTATTTTATGTTTGTGTTATACAAGTTGTAAAAAATTTTGATTCGATCGTTTTTTCTGGCCATTTGTGTTTGAGTCGTGTATTTGTTTTATGTAGATATGAATCTGTTTTAACATTTCCTCTTTATGTTCCAGAAACGAGATTTTAGAAGATAGTTGTTTAATGTTAAGCAAGCTGAATAGAAATTGAACATTTTTTTTTTTGAATGACATTTGTCAATCTTTTCTGTCATTTGTCATGTTTTATTCACAGGTTCTCTCTTTCTCCTGATCTCGATTCCATTACAACCGTATTTTTTTGAAAAAAAAGTATAAACCATTATTATATTTTCTATTCAAATCCATTTGGTCTATTTGAATGGCCAATTTGTTGAATTTGTTTCGATGACAAAAGCAAATCTAACAGGAACAGCAGCCGTGATTGGCAACCATGTGACATTTTTGTTTTCTTGTAACCAATATCTGTGATGTATTTCAAACGTGTTTGATATAATTTTTTCACGTGCATTTTTATCTGCCGAAACAAAAACCATGTCATACATTCATACTACATAACCAAAATAACATGATTTTTGTTCTTTTTTTTGGTCCATAGTTCTTGCTATCAAATTTGTTCAAGATTTAATCATACACACACATAATAATTAGATAGTATGTAAATGTATCAAATAATTGTACAATCACACATTATAATGTTTCGGCCATTGTCACCATTGGATCTATTGATTCGTTATCTTTTCTTCATCGTTTTTGTATTTTTACTTATAACTAAAAAAAACTTTTGTTATTTTAATTTGTATTCAATGATTCGATTATAGACCTCACACATGCACAACCTCTGTTCTGGCCGGTGAGGTTGAAACAAAAATCAATTATTGTTTCACAATTCATGAATTTAAATTTGATATTGTTTGCTCCCTATTTATTCACACTGATTGAAAAAAAAACAAATGGCCACAAATTGATACACACTTGATTTGACAAACTTCATTTATTTTTTTTTATTTGACTGTAACAGTAAATTTGAATCTCAATCATTTTGTTCTTTTATTTTCATTTTTGAATAATTTTTGTTTGTTTGTTACGACAACTTTGACAAAAGAATGTAAATGTGTGCGTGTGTGATGAATATTGCATGGATCGATTATAATATGAATGTTGTCCATGTTTTCTTTTTTATTTTCCTTGCAGTTAGATTTATGTCAAAAGTTAGAATTCAGCTCATTCAAGCGAATTTTTTTTTGATGAACTGAAGCGACAATGCAATAAACTGAATGGTGCAAAACTTCTTTGTTTTTTTTTAATATTTAGGTTTTGGTTGTTTTGCATCGAATAAAAACACACTTACGCAGATAATTTGTTGTTTTGATTTGTTTTGACAAATTCATTCAAGTGAATAATAATTATTATTATTATGACTTAAACATAACCAGAATATATTTAGTTTTTTACTTTGGCTTTATTTATTGATTCGAAAGCATTTTTTTCAACGTAACGAATCATTTCATGGCTAATCGACCAAATCTACTATGATAATAGCGATGATGATGATGATGATAATGATTCTTGTTTTGGTTCCGACTATCCTTTTTATCTTTCACCAAAAAAACATACACACACATGCACCAAAATAGAGTTGCGATTAAAATTATGCTCATTATAATCACGTGATTTATATATGTGGTTAAAAAAGATATAGGCGATTACCGACCGCAAACAGAATTCTGCAAAATAAAAAAAAAATTTCCATTTATAATTGTAAAATAAATTTTTAGTTTTTTCTCTACACTATCCATGAAAAAAATTGCTCAATATTATAATGTAAAGACAAAAAAGGAAAACATTCAGAGAGTAATTCGATCCTCAAAATAAAAACAAAAAAATAAAATAAAAGTCAACAATGTATGTATTCATTTTGTATGTATATAAGCTCCTCTAAGTGGTCCGAGATTGAAAAGCAAAACTTGACAACAAAAAAAAATGAAAAATCTCCATTGGGGATGCAAACAATCGTGAATGGATGTATACGATGTCAATGATGATGTTATGACATAAACGAAAAAAAGGAATCCATTGGGATTATTATTATCATCATCATCATCACTATATTAGTGTAACACATTTGACGATTCACATTCTCTTGGGTTATCATCATTTTTACACGTGAAATACTCATTGAATGCCATAAAATGATAAATGTATATCATTTATTGGTTGATTTGATACAATCAATGATTTGAAATGGAAAATTTGATATTTCAATTTTAGTAATTTTGTATTGAACTATTTTGATATTTATGTTCAAGAATATTTTGATATTAATGGAAAATAAAATGATTAAAATAAACATGTGCAAATACAGACACATGCTTTTGTATAAAGGTGTTATAATGTAAAATTAAAAACATTATGATCAGTGTGTGGTCAGGTAAAATAATTTACATTTTCAATTCATCCGGCCAATTTTATGTTGAATATAAAGTTTGTGCGTATATGTGTAAACGCTTAAAAACATGTTTTTTCGGCTTTATTTCTATCAAAATTTTATGATTGACAGTTGATAGTGTATTGTATTAAATACTTTAAAAATATTTTAAAAAAATTTACGCTTATTATTCAATGTGGAAAAAATCAATCACTATGTTAATCCGCTGATTGCATATACACATGGCCAATTTGTTCAATGAAAATTTCATTTATAATCACAAAAAAACCTCCCGAAGATAACCACACAACACGTGAGAAATATAATCATTGTTACCTGGTTTTGAATATTAATATGCAAAAAAATCTTAATCACAATCCAATAGGATAATAGTTTTTGTTAGAGGTGAAAACTTGTTAACGTTTCTTTTTCTTTTCTTTTTGTATTGAAAATTGTTCTTGTTCTGTCAAAATGGCATTCATATTCATCGTTTTTTTTTGATCTTTTCATTTGATTTGAAATGATTTTTTACTACTCTGAAAAATGATATCGATTTCATTTCAAATGCAAATTATAATCCAATAAGAAAATTTTTCCGTTTACTTTTCAGTTATGATTTTTCCATCATTATTTTTCCTGTGAATATTTCATATTTTTGGCATGTGGAAAAAAATTGTCAATTTAATGGTTTGATCTTTTTTATGGTTTGAATATTTGAAGAGAATAAAATTGACAGTAGCATGATATAACAGAAATATGGTATCCATTATACTGGATGCAGTATCATTTCATGAAGGTTTTTTGTTTCAGGGCCATCATAGAATATCATTTAGTTGGTCGTTAATGGCTTCTTCATAATCGTGTTTGCTTATTTAAGTTCTACGAATTGATTAGGTTTTATCGATAAATGATCGGCATCAACTTTCATCATTGTATTGACAATATATATGGTATATGATCATCATCTTAATGTCTATCAATTGCAAACAATTGTATAATAATAATCATCAAAGCAAGTTTTGTAGTCAAGATCCATTTGGACACTTGAACCATTTTTGCTATAACAAATATAGTGAATGGTTTAAGTTTGTTTGCTAATTCAAATGACGGAATGATCATCAATTGAATGAATTCTTTATTTCATGGACATTAACATCAAAAGCATATTCATTTTGAAGTGACCAATGAATGGACATTTGATAGTTCCAATCTATCATTTGATTTACTCATTAAATTTAAATGTTTTAGAAAAATTTGAATTTTTTCCGCACATTGAAAAAAAACAAAATAAATTGATTTCAGTTTTTTTCACAATAATTTTTTTGATACTTTTTTTTGGTTAATTATTTGCCATTGCATTCATTTCATGCTGTATTTGACAAAGCTTTCATTATGTGTTTATTCGGAAAAGGTTCATTGTTTTCATTATGTCACAAATCTGTATGAATATAACAA